TCTAGAAAGTTGATATTTTGGGAGATTGTTCTCTGCCCAAGTGCAACCCTTCAAATTTAAATCACGTACAACCCCGTGGAAGTTTTGACGGGGAATTATTATCTGGGTAGCCATGAAAGCTAGGAAGTTGGTATTTAACGAGAATGTTTCCTGCTCACGTGCGATCCCGCAAATTCAAAAACAGTTTTCGGTCAATTCTGGGTCTCGATTACGTCGCCGTAAAAGTTTCGGCGGGAAAAATCACTGCCTTAGAAGCTGTAGAAATAGAAAGCTGGAATTTTGGGGGCTTGCGACCTCGCAAATTCGGCTTTCATTTACCCCTCGATGTCTTGTACGGCCCCGAGAAAATTTTAGTGGGGAGAATTATTATCTCAGGGACCAGAAGAGCGCGAGGCTGAAATTTCAGGAGGATGTTTTCTGCCTGTGCAGATACCTCACAGACGTCAGACTTAGCTTCCAAGTATGCCGAGATCTTATGTACGATCACGTGACTGTTTTGATACGAAAGTCACTGGCTCGGAAGCCGGAAAACTGGGAGGTTTAAATTTGGGACGATATTACCGTACAAGCTTTCAAAGTCAGCTTTCTCTTACCGGCACGTGAAATTTTAAGTGAGAAATTTCGCAAACAGACAACATATCACAGTGAAAATCCTTAGCAGAAAAACGTCCGCTGGACAGAACTGTGCAAAACGCATGATCGCACCGGCTACCCTGGTACATGCCGCTATTTATTTTCTGCAGCTACCTCCATCCCTGTTTTTGATTAGGTTACCGTAGCTTTTTATGCGTTTTTCTGTCGCAGCACTTTAAGCAAAAACGCATAACTTGGTGTATGTGTATTTGTGTGTTCGTCTATCCAAATATTTCAATACGGCAGTTAAAGAAGATTAGATGCTGAAGTTCCCTGGCCATTTGAGAGCCAGAAACGTAATATTAACTTACACGTGCAGTAAAAATTTCGGAAAATAATAACAGTTGATACGATGTGAATTTTGAAGAACAAACAATATTTTATTTTGGGCAAAGCGAAGTTTTCTGATGACTGTGGAAGATGCGACAGAGCGTCGCATCAACTGCTATTATTTTTCGAAATTTTTACTGTGCACTTGCACCTTAGTGTGTACACGTGTAAGTTTTGCCGGAAAAATTGCTAACTCGGGAATCAGAAAAGTTAGGAAGCTGAAATTTAGGTGGATGTCTCCTGCCCTATGTGGTGTCCAAATATTTGAAGTTAGTTCTTAAGTATATTTGGGCGTCACGTGCAGATACGTGAAAAAAAATTTGACGAGAATTTGTTATGGCTAACTTATATTCTTACTACTTCCTGTCATACTTCTGGCAAAACTGAACTGTTTTGCTGCATTTTCAAAATCCGAATCTTGTTCAGCAATGGAATCGGAGCCTCCTTTCGTGTTTGTGTTATTAGATGGTTACTGCACCGAGGCCGGTTGCAGCCCCGGATGGACTAATGCATCCGGGACAGTAACACTAATCAAAACACGGGCAAAGAAAGTATTGGTGGATTGTGGTAATCCTTGGAACGGTGACGATATCGTTGAAGGTTCCTCATTTCTATGAAATTTACTTAATACTGGATTGAAGGGGATCTCATTTTAAGGCGCTAAATGCATGCGTGCATGCGTGGGGGAAATACCCCGCGATTCAGCTAAATTGAAGGAATTTCCTTGAAACTCGAGCAAAATTACTTGTATTTCGTTGATATTTCGGTAAGCTGTTGTTGTAGCACATCTTCGTGGACCGCCACAGTTACAGCAAGAACTGGATTAGTACTCGGTACGAAGCCTGCCAGAATTGCAGCACTGGGGGCTGCTCAGGGAAGTGAAATCAGTCCGCAGTGCCCTCACTTTATTTAGCAGGCTCATTGTGAGAGGCATGCATTGAGGCCGCTAAATAAAATGCGAGTGTTGCGTGTCGAAAGAGGCAATTTGCAGCGCTTTCGAAGCACTCGTTGGGCTGCGACGAGATCACCGATCTGGTGATAACGCACGGGCACAGCGATCATTGCGGCAATCTGTCGTTGTTCAAATGCGCAACAATCTACATGGGCGATGATGTGGCCACACGTCATGCACATTACAGCACATTCCTCCAGGTCCTCTCTGGCCGCTGTTCCTCATTTGCATATCTACGAGATGATAACTCTTCGTTCGCCGATCCCTCATTTGCATTTCTGCGATACGATAACGCTCCTACAGTAGTAAGCAGCCTGTCGGAGTAGGGATGCCGAGAGAGCCGGGATGGGACGAAAATATACACAACCCGGGGTAGCATCGTTCATCAGTGAGAAAGATTAGCCGTAAAATAGCTCCCTAATGTCCAGTCCTCAGGTACTTATCTCGCAAAAAATATGGACGAAACTGAGCTTAAGCCTCTCCAAAATGTCAGTTGCAGGGTGAATTGGCCTTCAAAATTGATGAAAATATCGAGATATGGCGAACCCCAGGACATACTGATCATGACCTTAGTGTCGTTGTTACCGGAACCGATCGTGGAACCATTGCTATTTCAGGTTCAATCTCTGTCACTGATTTTTTTTTTCTCATTTTTTTTTTTCACACTTCTGTAATCAGTGCTCCTCGTTATTTAGGAGACATTTTTGAAGAAGGGTTTGTGGATAACTGGAAAGTGAACAGTAAGTATCCTGAGGAGCAGCAAAAAAGCCGAGATCGACTAGTGCAAGTTGCCGATTGGATTGTCCCAGGACACGGTCGTATGTTCAAAGCATGACTGGAGGCATTTCCACATTCCGTTGCGATCTTTTTTGTTTGCTAATGTACTCTTTATCGTTCTACATACAAATCACTGTTCATAAGTTCAGTGTAAATCTGAACTCACCCACTTAACAGTTGAATTAACGGAAGGTTGTGCTCGAAATGCTCAGGACAAAAAAAAATGAACAGATACAAAAATATTCGCTTTTGCAGAGGGATGCGTGCCAACGCTATAATAATCATAAACCCAGGCTGGAACGCACCAGGCGGGCCGGTGCGATTATGCGTTTTTGCACTTTTCGTACC